CTGGTGCTGGTAAATTCTTTCAGGTTTTGTTTGTCTGAGAATGTTCTTGTCTTTTCTTCCATATGAAGGATAATCTTGCTGGGTACAGTATTCTCAGTTGAAGTTACTTTTCCCTTAACACTTTGAATATATCCTTGCTCTCATTGTTTCCGACAAGAGATCTGCTGTTAGTCTGATGGGATATCCCTTGTAGGTAACTTGCTGTTTCTCTCTTGCCAATTTTAGTATCTTGTCTTTGTCTGTGGTTTTGGTCAGTCTGGCTATAATGTGTCTTGGAGAAGATCTTCTTGGGTTGGTTCTATTTGGGGTCCTTTGTATTTCTTGGGACTGGATCTTTGAGTACCTCTCTAGGTTTGGAAAGTTTTCTTGCAGGATTTCATGGAATAGATTATCAATGCCCTTATGAGTCTCTTCATCTTCTGGGATGCCAATTATCTGGATGTTTGGACATTTGATGGTATCTAGTATTTCTCATATATTATTCTCAAATTTGGGGGTAATTTTCTCAGTCTTTGTGGTGGACTTTTCTAGGCCAGCAATTTTCTCTTCTATGTCTGAGATTCTATTTTCTGTATGATTTAGTCTGCTTTTAATACTTTCAAGAGAGATTTTTACTTCCTGTATTATAGTCTTCATCTCTAATAGTTCCATTTGATTCTTTTGTAAAATGTGTAATTCCTCTTTTAAATCTTGCAAGAATTTCCTCACCTCCCAGAACTAATCAGCTCCTTTATCCTTATTCTTCTGCAGTTAATTTTCTCTCTTCTCTTCCATTTCTATTAGCTTCACCATTATGAATGTTCTAAATTCTTTATCAGACCTCTCCATGATTTCCATTGAACTGTCTGCAGATGCAGAGGAATTATTCTTTTCCCTTCAAGGAAAGGTATTTTCTTGCTTTCCCATATTTCACTAGTTCTCAGGAGCCATGAAGGTGTCTTCTGCTGCCTGCTCCCTTGCCTCTCCACTGGATTTGTGGACTGAAGGCTGAATTATCAGTAGAAAATCTTCATTTCTTTATTCTCTGAACTCACTAGTTCTCAGGAGCCATGAAGGTGTCTTCTCACAAGATATGATTGTTTACCTATCCATTTAATCTGAGGAAATACAATTTTCTAACATTTGTAAATTCTGGAGTTCAAGAATAAGGTGCAGGGACCCTCTACTCTCAGACCCTACTCCTTACTTTCTAAATAAGTCAGTCTCAGAACACATTTATACATGTAGAAGATCCCCCTGAAGGTTTCTGAAAATGCAGTGACTAAGATTCACCATGAAAATAGTTTGAAATTTAATGTTGGCTATTTCTGTTCCTGAAAGTCCTTCAGCATGTCTACAATTTGAGTTTGAGCCTCCTGCCATGTTACTCAGCTGTCCTTTCCCATTCCTTTCTACTTCTCTAATCCCTGACATATTCCCATTTATTTATACTCAGAACTATTTATTTCACTCCTGTTGATCAGTTTCTATTGACCCATGCCTTTGCAGAGGGGGATGGAGGAGTCTCACCTTCTTGCTGCTTTATTAAAAGTATTTTCCACCAGAAGATAACTTCAGCCTGAGAGGAATTCTTGTGTTAGCTGCTAAGATCACTTTTCCACCCTACTTTAATGGTGTCATCTTCAGTAATCTAATCTGTAGACTGAATTCTACTGATATCATAAAAGCCACTTTGAATAGATCCATTGTTTTTTTTATTTTATGTCAAGTTCTTTTATACATTCAATCACATTATTTAGCTTGTAAAGCGAATATTCTAACATGTGTTCATTTCTCCCCAGTCCAGTTGATAATACTATAAAGTTATCTTCAATAGTTAATACCCCATTTCTTTGTCCCATTAATGCTATACCTCTCTATTTTTTTCCTCAATATCCTTCCTCAGACTAAACTCCTTCACCCACCCTCTTCCACCCTCTATCTGGTATTCACATCCATTTACTGTGTTTCTATATCCTTTAGTCATTCAGTTTCAGTTACAGAGTGTGGACACTTGGTATATATTAAGTGGAAACATACAATGTCTCTCCTTCATAGCCTCGCTTGCTTCACTCCGCAGTAAATCTTCCATATTCATCCACTTTCTGTCAAAAGCCAGGGTCTTGTTTTGTTTTGTTTTGTTTTTATGGCTAAATTGATCCATTATTAAAATGAGGAGAATTCAGATGAATCCACTGCCACTTTAGGAATTTGCTAATCCATCTGGCTAGTTTGGGTTCACTTCCTACCTAAGAATGACCTGTTCATATAGAGGAAGAATTCTGGGTGTGGTGGTGCTTTCCTTGGAGAGTTTCCAAATACCCTCTATAGGCCACTTTTTCCTCTCCACATCACCCCTAAAGTTCCAAAGAAAAGCCACCTCCCAACTTAAATCTTTTGTAATGTTTTTTAAATATTTTATGATGGACTTTTTTACAACATGCAGAAATATACAAAGAATAGCCCGGTGAGCCTCCAAGTACCCATCACCCACTTCACCATTTATCAACATACTTACATACTGAGTTACAACTTACATTTCAGGAAGTGGGTTATGACATAACAGTTAGGTTGTTGTCTTAGTTTTACCCATATAGAATACTAAACCAAGAAATGACAACAGAAAGAGTATTCCAAAAATATCAATTTATTTTCTTATAAGATAATTTGTGGAATGATTTTAGAGGGAAAGTATAACTGTGGGGTTATGTTGCCAATAAAGATATATGTGACATATTTTCAGTAACATGTTGATATTTCAGGATATCATTTACAAAGTAAAAACTGCTTTCAATAATGAGTTTGATGTAACATATAAACAAAAAGAGTTTGAAATGGCACGCGTGAAGGAAAGAAACATTAGAATTGAAGAGATTATCTCAGATCTGGACTTAGAAGAAACAGTCTGGGAACCAGAATTTGAGGACTGTGAGAAGCCAGAGAGAACCCTTGTTGTGGAAAACCGGGAGGTATTGGCTAGCTATGTTGTCCATTCTCTTCTTTCTCAGGAGGTTTTCCTCAGCTCCTATGTATTCATCTACTTATTTACACTACTGGAAAATGACTATGTTAGGTAGCATTCTCAGTTACAAGTGGCAAAAAGAGATGATGTAGCTTCAGCAATAATGAGGATATCTTTTGTGAATCCCATCAAGTCCAGGAAAGATTTGGACACTGAGCCTAGAAGTCTTGCAGGGAGTCGGGAAGCCCTCTTTCTTCTTCTCTTCACTCATTTCTCTCTGCATATCAGCCCTTTCTAGCCATTTACACTTTGTATCTTCTCAACTCAAGAGAGCAGCTGGTTTAATTAGAATCTCTTACGACCAACCCCAGGTTTGCCTGGGAAGGGGTTTCATGGTCGCACTGATTCCAGTGCCAGTAGGCACATCAAGGCCAATAGAATTTCAGTAATTACCTAGACCATTCAGGCAGTATGGATCCCAGAAAATGGGGGCTCAATGACTAGCCTTCTTCTAAGGTACTGTCACAGAGGCAACTGCAAATCAATATTTTAAAAAATAATTAAAATATGATCATACTTCATTTGATTTGGTAAAAAAAATTCTAGAGAATAATCTTTTTATTATTATTATTATTATTATTTGAGAGGTTTTCGCTATAGGGCGCGTGCGCTCGCCAGACAGACAGAGAGAGACATAGAGACAGAAAGCGAGAAATCACCCCCCGGGGTGATGGTCATGCCGCAATCCCTTCTCCTCCATTCTCCTCTCGGGATCTTGGGCACACACGCACACGCGCCCGGCGTGAGTTTTAAGCCACCAGGTCTGGGACGCGAACCGTGGTCGACTACGTGGGAGTCCAGCGACATAACCATTACGCTAACTGCTGGTTCCCTAGAGAACAATCTTCACATGAAAATAACTTGATTACTTTGGGACAAAAGATAATAGTGGTGTTTAGGAATACCAACCTGTGTTACTTAACAACAGGGATAGGTCATTAAGAGAAATGTGTCATTAAGTGATTTCATCATTTCACAGACATCATAGCTGTACTTACACAAACCCAGATAATACCATATACTACTTCTATAGGCTCCTGATTATAATAGCAAACATTTTATAGTCTTGTTAGATGTGAAACACTGATCTAAAAGCCCTAGATATATTGAAATTAATATATTATTATAAAACCTTCTAAGGAAGGTACTAATATTAACTCCACCTATCTTAGATGAAAAAAGTGAGACACAAAAAGGTTAAGTAGTTTGACCACAGTTACAAAGCTAATAAGTAGCAGAGTAGAGATTTGAACCCAAACCATTATGCTGCAGAGTAAACCCTCTTTACTATGGACTTTGCTGTGGTTGTTTGAACAAGTTGTCTTTTCCTGAACCAGACTCCTGCTGTGTGACCTAAGACTTTGAAGCAAGGTGACAGCAAGGTCTTCACACTACAGCTCTCTAGAGTAGTCACTTTATATGTGCTTGACTAACTTTATCACACTTGCTTCTCCTTGGTTTCTACTCCATTCTGTATTCAGGCATGATCTTGTCACCAGCCAAACTTCTTAGGTCTCTCTCCTGTCTAAACTGCAGTGCCTGGTAATTTCAAAGAGGCCAAAACCCACAAGCCCTTTCCTGGCTGCCCCCTCTGTCCCTGTTTGTCCAGCTGTTCTCCCACTTCTATTAGAATCTGGCTTAGACGACATTGCTTTGAGCTCCTTTTCCTCCTCCACTTAATCTAAATCAAGTCCCTGTTATAATCTCATTAGTGACAGAGGCAGGCTCTGAGAGCTAATAGAGACGTAAAGACCTGTTTTTTCAATCCTCTCATTTTAGGCTTCATCTTCATTCCAAAATAGGAAACTGGTTGCAAAATCTGGGTAGTCCTTTTAATGCCCCTAAAACCTAACCACTTCCCAGTATGTAGAAGGAAAGTTTGCTTTATATTTTGTAAGAATAACAGCAGGAAACTGTACTTTCTCTTTCAGATTACAGCTCACAAACATGTTAATCCATGGCAAAAAGCCAAAGCAGAATTTATTGTGACCCGTGAAATGGAGCGATGGCTTCAGGCACGGGTATGCTGTAGTACCTAAGTACCTAAAATAGTACCTAAGACCCTCCTTCCTTTAGGGATACTTGCTTCCAGTTAGTTTAATAGTCTCATACTTGTACTCCATTATAGAAACACCTCTAGTTATTTGTCATGGTCAGAGGTCACTGGAATCTCAGTTGGCCCCCTCCTCTTCCCTCTCCTCCAGACCTTAAATGCAGTAATTCCAACACTGGGTGTTATAGAAACACCTCTAGTTATTTGTCATGGTCAGAGGTCACTGGAATCTCAGTTGGCCCCCTCCTCTTCTCTCCTCCAGACAATCCCTATCCTAAATGCAGTAATTCCAGCACTGGGTGGGAGGCTGCCCTGAGCGGGCATCTAGAGTATATCCAATCTCTGTCTCAGCAACCCTCTCTGATTCTGGCTCTTTTCCAGAGCTCTGACATGAGACGCCGAGCCCTGATGGACATGATGGGAGGTGTTCTGGAAGTCAAGAAGGAAGACATTCTGAGAATGGTGAGATTTCTGCCCATCCTTGGAATAAACTGGAAAGAGCTACTTAAATTTTACCATTTTGGCCTATATGAATGTAAGTTTCAGAAGTAAGAAGAAATTCAAAACCACATGTTTGCTTTCAGTCTGACAAAACAAACAAACAAATGAACAAACACAAGCGACCACAGTGGTTTGGGTCTCTGCAGAAGGCCTGGATAACATTTCATCTGTCATTTGGATAGACCAGGAAACATTTTCTCTGAGATCTGACAAATGTGTTCCTAGAGCTCAGGTGTAGTTCTCATGAAAAAGATATCAATACAAACCTGAGTCTGTCAAGTAAGGGTCTGGGTATATCCAAACTACCCACCTCGCTTAAGTACATAAAAACTGTTGTAACATTTTTCATATCTTGTGGTCAGATCATTGTCCTTGTCAATGTAAAGAGCTACACTTTTATAAAAGGTGCTTTTTTTTTTTTTTAAGACTAATGACAACTTTGAGCTTATACTATACCACTACATTTATGTTTGAGCTAGAATATATGCTTTCTTTTATGTCTTCAGGTGATTCCTCAACCTGCTTTCATGTCAAGACCTGATACTGTGTGGACTGAAGAGGAAAGGAAACAATACAAAGAGTATGAGAAAAAAGTCAAAGAGTTAAATGAAGAAAGAGATAAGTACAAAAAGGTCAGAAGAGCAAAAAATTGCTATAACCTACATATTCAGGGTTTTATTTCTTTCTTTTTTTTTTTTTTTTTTGGAGAGATTTTCACTGTAGGGCGTGTGCGCTCGCCAGACAGACAGAGAGAGACATAGAGACAGAAAGCGAGAAATCACCCCCCAGGGGGGATGGTCACGCCGCAATCCCTTCTCCTCCATTCTCCTCTCGGGATCTTGGGCACGCATGCACATGCACCCGGCGTGAGTTTTAAGCCACCGGGTCCGGGACGTGAACCGCGGTCGACTACGTGGGAGTCCAGCGACATAGCCATTACGCTAACTGCTGGTTCCCTCATTTTATTTTCAAATGTTCTTTTATTAGTACCTTTAAGATTTTAAGAATATCATTTTAGCTTAAATCCTCCATAGAATTTAGAGAAGTTGGTAGAGATAAATTTTAAAAGTTAGGCTGATTTAGAATAAAAAGAACAGGTCTTGCCAAGGTGACACTGGTGGGAGGGAAGCATTTGTACAATACTAGCACGATACGGAAGGGCCCAGGTTCAGATGCTGGGTTGTCCTGAGCATGTTGAATACACTCATAATCCTTGCTACCTGGAAGCTGGGTAGATCGCAACATGGTTAGGCCGTCGAGAGATGCCGCCCTTTACTTTGTTTTTGTCTCTCTGTGTCTGTGTGTCTTGTGCGAAAGAAATGATTAAACTGTAAAACAAAAAGAACATACAGCAAAGATCTAAAAAGTTCTTACTGATTTCAACATTTCCCACATTGTTACAATCCACTCAGTCCTTCATTCATTCTTCAAATGTTGGGTGAACTCCTATGATAGCATGTTCAAGTCATTGCAAGATACTGCTCTGTATTTCTCCATCTATTACAGTTCAGTAATACTTTTGCTTGATTTGTTCTTAGTCTTAAGGATTTGAAAAAAGAATGACACAATCAATGCATTTCTTTCTTTCTTTTTAAAATTTGCTAAAGGGATTGTGCACTTACCACAGGGGAACACAGAGAGAAAGAGAGAGGGAAAATGAGAAAGTATCCCCCATGAGGTCAGGTCACACTGCAGTCCCTTCTCCTCCATCTCTTCTTCCTTTTAGAATTTTAGGCTTGCACACATTCATGCCTTGCACACATTCATGTTTCTCAAGCCCCTATGCCTGGGACTCAAACTGTGCAGCATGTTGGCCATGTGGGATCCAGTCACCTTAACCATCAAGCCACTGGCTGACCCTCAATGCCATTCTAATCTGAGGCTTTTGCCATGCAGTTCTACTTTTATCTTCTTCCATCTCTAAGAAAGATTTCCACATTAAAATTGTTTACAGTTATAGGTCAGCCACAGTGGCACAGCAGTAACGTGATACTCCACAATGTAGGGCAATATAGGAAGGTTCTAGATTCATACTATGAGGTCCCCCTGTGTATGCCACGCACATGCATACATACTAGTGATTCTGGCAGGCTGAGACCAAGAGCAGGATTGTGACATGAAAACTCTGTTGAGGGTACGCCTTTATCTCACTTTCAAATGTTTCCCTCTCTCATGGGAAAAAGTTCTTTAAAAATTGCTTACAATTATTATAGAGATGTAAACAATGGGACTAGCAGATGGTGTAATGGTTCCATCACTGGACTCCCACATGGCCAACATGCAATTCAAGTCCTGACCTGGTGGCTTAAAACTCAAGCTAGGTGCTTGTGTGGGCATGCCCCAAATCCAAAGAACAGAATGGAAGAGAAGGCATTGAGGCATGACCATTCCCCCTGGAGGGTGATTTCTCACTTTTTGTCTCTCTGTCTCTCTCTGGAGAGTGCATACAAACTATAGAGAAAATCTCTCTGGGACCAGCAGTTAGCGTAATGGCTATGTCACTGGACTCCCATGTAGTCGACCACGGTTCGCGTCCTGGACCCGGTGGCTTAAAACTCATGCCGGGCGCGTGTGCGTGCATGCCCAAGATCCCGAGAACAGAATGGAAGAGAAGGCATTGAGGCATGACCATTCCCCCTGGGGGGTGATTTCTCGCTTTCTGTCTCTCTGTCTCTCTCTGTCTGTCTGGCGAGCGCACGCGCCCTATAGCAAAAAAAAAAAAAAAAAAAAACCCTCCCAAAAAAAAAAAAAAAAAAGAGAGATGTAAATGATGATAGTATACAACCTAGTAAATGGTATTTATTTTTTCGTGAAGAAAACTAAATCATACCATCATTCAAGGTAAGATAGTTTATCAGCCTTATAGTGGCTGTATCTATGAACAATTTATTCAAACCTATTGTTAACCTGTTCATGTTTTTATTCACTGCAGTCCTCTATGATATTTTAGATTTTGACCTAAGAGAGTGTTTACCCACAAGCCAAAATCAGTAATCCTGAGCAAAGTAACATTTCAAGGAATTAGCGAGTATACACACCTCATGTGATGACAATTTGACCTTATTTACCCCACGGTTTTGTGTTGAAAATTGTCCCCTGCCTTCACTCTTGTCCCCCTGTTCCTTTGTTATACTCACTTGCTGATTAAATCCAGTACTCTGCTATTTCCATACCTGCACACATATGATGGGTAAAGAAAAAAAATACTGATCTCACTCTGCATTAATGACCTTTATCTCAGTTGGGTCTTTATAACTGATCTGCAATGCTATTTCATTTTTTTTCCTAGTCCAGTGTTCTCCCACTAGAATGTGAGCCATCATAACCCAGGGGATTTCATTAAGAATGTAAATTTGGGTTCTATCATAGTCATCCTTGTTCTGGGGAAGTGAAGGACCCCAAGATTCTGCACTTCTAACAAGAAACTGCTAGCTCCTGGCCACACTTTGAATAGCGGGACCCAGACGACCATTTCTCACCTGCTCTTCTGTCCTCAAACTTTCCACATCAGATCTTCTCAACTCACTCTTACTTTATTATCTATTTCACTGGGAGAAGAGAAGCCACTAGAAGAGATGTTCCTTACTCTTCTACCACCACATCTACCACCTACATACACTGAATTCATAGGATCTCCTAGCTTTCTCTTTCTTTTTTTTTTTTTTTTAGAGAGAGAGATTTTTGCTATGGGGTATGTGCACTTGCTGGAGAGACAAAGAGAGAGAGAAAGTGAGAAATCCCCACCCCCACCCCCACGGAGGGATGGCTACACCACAATCTCTTCTCTTCCATTCTCCTTTTGGGATCTTGAGCACGCATGCACACACACACCTGGTGTGAGTTTCAAGTCTCCAGGTTCAGGACTCGAACCATGGTCAACCATGTGGGAGTCCAGCCATGTAACCATTATGTCATTTGCTGGTCCTGCCTTTCTGTTTCTTATGGATGATAGGGTGTTTGATACATCAAGCCTGGTCCTTCACTTGTGTGTTAGATGCCATCCTTTCTTATCTGTTCAACGTCACTCTTTGTCATTTTGCCCCTCCTTTTCTGCAGCATAAATTTTTCTATTCTACTGGATTTTTCCCATCAATGTAGACACATGCTGTATGTAATATTATGCATCTTATAAGATATATACATCTGATACATCTCTCATCTGTGTTTAAAAAGTTCTCCCCTGAAGGGTTAGCAGAGTTCTTTCTCCTATTCTTCTGACTTTTGTGTTAGTCTGAATTTATTTCAAAATCAAAAGTGAAAGGAAAAAAAAAAAAATCCATTGATCTCACTTTTCCCCGAAACCACTGCTCAATGTCTCTTCTCCCTTTTACAGAAAAACTAAAAAAAAAACCCTCTCCAATTTCTCTATTTTTTTTAAAATGGCATTTATTATAGAAAAGTTTCAGCATATGTAAAAGTAGAGCAAACCATATAATGCCCCCTTCATCCAACTTCAGCAATTATTTATATAGCCAATCCTGTTTCATTTTACACCTCTACTTCCCTAACACTGGATTAATTTCACCAGTTTTTGTTTTATTCAGTACAGAAATGTAACATGTACAATTCACGTATCATATATCTATACTGACAGTACATATACCATATAGCTGTATACCTGAACTCATCAATTTTTAATATAGCTGTATTTGTTCCCTGTTTTTCTAAATAATTGGAGACTAATCACAGAAAACATGACATCCCGGGAACCAGCAGTTAGCTTAATGGCTATGTCACTGGACTCCCACGTAGTCGACCGCGGTGCGCATCCCAGACCCGGTGGCTTAAAACTCACGTCAGGCGCATGTGCATGCGTGCCCAAGATCCCAAGAGGAGAATGGAGGAGAAGGGATTGCGGCATGACCATCCCCTCTGGGAGGTGATTTCTCGCTTTCTTTCTCTCTGTCTCTCTCTGTCTGTCTGGCGAGCACACGCGTCCTATAGTGAAAACCTCTCCAAAAAAAAGAAAACATGACATCCCAAAATACTATATCACAAATCTCTTCGAAACAAAGAAATTCTCATATATAATCACAATAAAATTATAATACATAAGAAGATTAATATCAACATACTATTAATAATGTACAGTCCAAATTCAAATTTCTCCATTGTCCAAGTAATGTCCGTCAAAGCTCATTTCGTTATTGTTAATACAAACATCTAATCAATTGCACTTAGTTTTCATGTCCTCTTAGTCTCTTTAAATCTAGAATAGTTCTATGGCATTGTGTGTGTATTTCATAATTTTTTTGTGAGAAATTTTTGTGATAGAGCACGTTTATTCACTGGATAGGCAGAGAGAGACAGAAAGCAAGAAATCATCCCTCAAGGGAAGTAGCCATGCTTCAGTCCCTTCTATTCCAGTCTCCTCTTGGGATTATGGGGATGCACACACATGCACCCGGCATTAGTTTCATTCAAGCTTCCGGGACTGGGATTTGAACTATGGTCGGCCATGTGGGAGTACAGTGATGTAACCATTATGCCATTTGCTGGTCCTGACATTGATATTTTTAAAAATCTAGGCCAGTTTTCTTGTGGAATGTCCCTCAAGTTGGACTTGATGTTTTCTCCAAAATTAGATTCAGGTTTTTTGTTGTTGTTGTTAATTGTCATTAAATATTTTTAGCTTTTAGGTCCCTAAAAAGGTCCCTGTCTTTTAAACAGACACGCTGAAGTGTTTACAGGTAAAATGAGAACATACAGAGCTGAGGTAGAAGTCAGTTAAAATAAGATCTTCATTTTTATGGCTATTCATATGCAATAAATGAAAGTTAAACAAATTTTTTAAAATCCCCCTAATTTAAACCACTCACAAAATACAGAATACGCGGTTTGTTTATGCAACACTGAACACTCATTCTCCCAACACAGCTGCATTAGCCTCCAGCCCTGAAGAGATCACTGTGTTTTCTTCTATGTGCCAGAAGAAGTAAATGACTTAAATTTAGTACCATGTTACACTAAAAAAAACACAAATATTTACATACCAGGCTCACATCTGGTACAACACGATGCTCAGCCTAGGTAAAAATGTTTTATAATAATACTAAGTAGGTGATTCTGTGTTCTCCGTCATCCTATCAGGCAGCACCTGATGTCAGTTAGTCCCACTATGGGTGACATTAAGTGCCATCATCGGAAAGAGTTTCTCCAGATTTTTTCATTATGTGAAGTTCTCTTTCTCCTTTGTATTTAGTAAGTATCTGTGTGACTACTGTTCAGTCTATCTTTTGCCATCCATCGATGACCTTTGCCAGAATCAATCATTTCCATGGTAATTGAGAAAAAAAAATGCATTTCTAATTTTTATTGCGTTGTCAGAAAAATCATGGCATATTTCCTGTTTTTCTGCACAAAAATGCACCATGGCTTTTCCAATGACCCAATATATTTATTGGTTAATATTATTTTTAAAAATATTTTATTTATGTTATCTATTATTATTATTATCATCATTTTAATTTGCTATAGGACACATGCACTCACCAGAGACTATAGAGAGAGGAAAGTGCAAAAGCAGGCCACTGGGATTCAAACCACAGTCTCCCATCTAGGAATCTCAAACCTCATGCAACCTGCAGGCCCCCATATTGGCTAGTATTCCGAGGAAGAGATTTCCCTCTGCTCTACCCCCAGTCCTCTCTTTTGAAATAAAAACAATTTTTTTAAATTTAATGCATCTTAATCCCTCATTGTTGTTATTCTTTCTGGTATTTTAAGTGTTTGGAGCTCCTTCATGTTGTCATTTGTGTCCTTTTCATATGTCCCCATCATTTTTGAGCATTTGCTTCCTTTCTAACATAACCAGATGTTTTGGAATCAACTATTTTCCTAAGAAACCCTGATTTCTTTTACTGGGAATTGGTATTTAGAGACCAAAATCTGGCCACTAGATATACCCATTGCTATGGGGGTGGAGGGTCATTGCCACTAAGTCATTTATGTGGACAGAGCTAGAAACACACACACACACACATACACACTCCTCGCCTCCAATTCCAATTCAACAGTGCAGGGCTATTTTCTTTTTCTTTTCATTTAAAATTTAGATATCTTTATCAGTGAAAACTCTGGTTCTCAAAAATTAAATACACTTTCTGGGACCAGCAGTTGGTGTAGTGGCTATGTTGCTGGACTCCCATGTAGTCGACCGCAGTTCAAGTCCTGGACCTGGTGGCTTTAAAACCCACATCGGGCATGTGTGCGTGTGTGCCCAAGATCCCAAGAGGAGAATGGAGAAGAAGGGATTGTGGTGTGGCCATCCCCCCAGGGGGGGTGATTTCTCACTTTCTGTTTCTCTGTCTCTGTCTTTCTGGCGAGCGCATGAGCCCAATGGCAAAAACCTTTCCAAAAAAAAGAAAAAAAATGTAAATGCACTTTCTCATTTGCTCAGTTCCACAATACACATATAATACCACTATCAAAAAGAAATCTACTATATCAATTTTAAGACTCTTGGCGTGGTAGATTTCTGAGTTATTCATACATAACTTCTACTTGGTCTCTCACTTTTCATCTCCCCTGCTTCTCATTTCTCGGCATCCAAGGCACTCGTATTTCTGGGCAAAATGAGATTTCCCAGAAATGTTTGAGGGAAGCTGACATTCATGTCTTTAAAAATACTCTGAGCAAACATGTTCTTGGCATGGTATCAGGTCCCAAGAAAAATATGGGAACAAGACACACATGCCCTCCCACTCCCCACCCCTCATAGTGCTCATTTTCTGTGGTGAGGAGAGTTATATATTAACTGTATATTCACAACATTATTATCACAGTGTGACACATTCAGACAAGACAGTTCAGGGTGCTATCTATGACAGTAAACACAGAGACATTGAGAGATCAGGGTCATTAGT